CATTAAAATAATACTTTTTCTAAGACATGAACTGTTCAGATAGCCAAGTTCCCCGAAATAAGTCACTTTTTTAACCATCATAACGAGCCAGACGTTCTTAGCAACCAAAAAACAGACCTGGGATCCCGTGGAGATGTAGGACTTTTAGTCTTACATCTCTACGGGATATCCAGTGGCTTACAACATTCCAGTGTAATCATATCCCTGTCGGTGATCGTTTATGCTCCACAAAACGCGTCAAGTTTTGCACGAATGTGTCATAATCCTAAAGTGTGAAATTATATTTACTGCAAGACAATTCCATCGTGTCAGAAAGATACAAAGCATTTTAATAGTCGGCGATTCGGGAAATCGCGCGACCGACGTGAAGAATTTGGATTAAAAGAAAAAATAACGTGGAAACAATATGTTTTCTAGGTTGGGACGCAACCGCCAGTTTAAAACTTAGCATGCGTTGTAATTCTTTGTTCATTTCTTTGCCGTTCTTAGCAAAACAACGACGTGAAATAGCCACAGTCTGCATATTTGAGAGAACGTGAAATACGACGGCCAATTGCAATATTTTAATTTTTTTTTTCGAATTTTGACGCTGTCTTACATAGTGTTTGAGATATTTCTGACAGTGACAAACAAACTGAATGAATCTAAATTCTCGCGAGATTCGTAGGTTGAATATAAAGTCGTTTTAATCGACGTTTTCTTTGGCGTTGTTGCCGTTATTGCTTAAACTGCCTTTTGCTGCTCGGGCGGCGTACTTCTGTCTGCATTTTATCGACCATCTGTTTGTTCGGCTGCGTTGAGTTCGGGCGTTTTCTTACTTTGCTGTTTGTCTACTGATTTCTCTCCCGTTCATTCAGTTGTTTTTGTTTGTGCAGGAGACATCTGTCTCTTATTTAAACTCTTATTAAAGTTTCGAAATGTATTAAAACAGCCAGAGCCGAAGCTCCTTAGCTTGTAATTAAAATGTCAAAGGAGACATCCCCACAGCGTTGAGGTTTTCCTTCGTTTAGAAACAAAAAGAAACGGAACATAAACAAATCCTCCACGGAAACATCCACGCAACGCGCGAGCAATATGCAGATGAAGAACTGGGTATTATGTCTAAAAATAACTTAAGGTGGCTCAAGACACTTTCCAGCACTTAGATTTTGATGGGTCGTTATAACTAATCTTCATCACTAGATGCAACAATCATGGCATCAAAATACTGCCCAGTCATTGGTTAACACGTTTTTATCATTTTCATGACACAATAGGTTACCATAGCAACAGTATGACGTGGTAAAAACACCCTTAATTACAGCTTTAGAGGCTTATAGTTCAAAAACGGCACGGTGAATTTTTTTTTTTTGTTTTATCAAATTTAAACAAGCATGATAAGACGCAACTTTTGACAAAGTTTAAACAAATTCCGTACATAGCGTTCAGAGCCACCTTAAATTTTCAAAACTTTGAGGTGGCTCTGAACCCTAATGAAATATCAGTTCAATAGGAATCCGATGTGGCGGATACTTGTACCTTGCTGTATCTAACATCAATACAGAGTTTGTTTCTCTGTCCAATGCAGCAACGGGACTATACTGACCCCCTCCGATTTGCCCGACAGCCTCCCTCGATTATGATATCGCCATTAACTCTTTTGGAATTTCATCGCTGAAATTTTGACCCCTGGCCTGTCTCCCTCCAGTGCACACTCTCTCAAGGCTTTGAACAAATTTCTCTAAATGTTCTGCAGAGTTGTCTGGTCTCATAAGAGTTGCAATTGCCCCATTGCATTCTGCCAAGTAAACAAATTCTTCTAAAGTAGTCTCAAACTAGCCCTTTCGCACCGCCTTTAGAAATGCAGAATGCCAACCAATCTTCTGTGTTCCATCGCCAAATCGTCCTTTTCCACCTGCAACGGGGATCTATCCTTAAAGAGTTCGAGATGGTGGCCAGCGTACTTATCCCACGGTAAGTCGGCTTCGATTGACTATTTTTGTACGATCACAGAGATAGAAAGGGGACAACATAACCAGTTTATAGAGTACCACAGAGACGAGTTCTGGATTCAGAGGATCTGTAATCAACCATGTTTTTAGGAAGTAATAGGCAGTATAATGGGTTTGATAAATCTGCTGACATCTTGTGACCATCAACCGTTTACATCACTGTGCTTGTGTAGCCAAACGTCGCTACAGACATTTAAACTTTTCAGTAATCGCTATAGTGAGCATTTATACCAAATTCAAAATAAATAAATGCAAGGAAACGAGGCCTCTGAATTGTCGAAAATTGTTTCAATTTTGTCTACTTCAGAAATAGGGAGAACATCTTTTAAATGTTCAGTTTTTTTCTTGATTATCTGCCAAGTTTTCGGTGTCACCTGGCCTACATTTTTTTAAAATATAAGAATATTGATTTTCCGGACTAGGCTAAAGTTCTTATTTTTCTGCCAATTTTAAGATGAAAATATTCTTGTGAATATTCTTATTCTCCGTTTCATTGACTTTGATGGCGTTGAAGTAATTTTTGGAGCCAGACTAGAGGAAACAAAGCCTGATATGACACAAAACTTCTAGAAGAAATATCATAAGCATCAAACACGCGGCTGGTACTTAATTGTTTTTAAGCTAGTTTTACCGTTTAGAGGAAGGAAGAATTTTGTACGGTTTAGTATAACTGTATTGTATTTACAAATTTTCAACACAAAATTATATGATTTTCAAAATCTCAGAATCGAGTTTAATCTTAAATTATTCTTAAAATTTATAAAATTTATAAAATTTACACCATATATTAAATATATTCTTTTAAAAAGAAAAGAGTGTAATCATTTATCCACATCAAACCCTATAATTCCTAGGCATTTTTCACCGTCGTGCCATCAAGGCAGCCATTCAACAGTTTAAGCCAAGGATCTCTGATATGGTAGATAATTGTATTCAAGGGATGACAATCGCTTGTTGATATATAAGCAACGCCACCAAGATTTAGGTCTGTAAGGCATTTCATACCTGCATTATTTAAAGAAATATTTTACCCAGATTTATGGAGCTTTGTATGGAGACGCCAGGTTGGTTGGATGGTTGGATTGGATTGGATTTGTAAAACATGGATTGCTGGTTGGAAAGTTCAGCATAACATTTGTTCGACTATTTAATTGTATATTTGTTTGCCTGTCATATCTTAGAACTTACGTTTAATGGAAGTTAATCATTTTTCGATTTTTTAGGAAATCGAGATCAGACGTGAGAACAGAACTAACTGTTTTCTTCGGGATCAGTGATTAAGGTGGAATGGTACCCTCAAACAAAGAAATTTTTTTTTTATTAAGTTTTAACAAATTGTCTTTATTGTCATGTTATTAAGCTCAACAAGAGAAATTGTTTGACACTAACTACGACAATAATTACCATGGCAACCGTACCACGCCCTCAAAGCCTTTGTATTAAAGCCTCCACGCCAACAGCTATATCTCCTTACCAAAGAAACATTTGATTCTGAAATTTTCAGAATATGTTTAACATATACATGTAACTGCCGTATGAGCCTAAAGTTTCAACAGCTTAAGCCTTTTTGCTCTTAAGTTACGATGTCCAGGGGAGTGTAATTAATTCATGATCAGTCCTATTGACAAGATTGGCCAAAAAATGTGTGAAAAATGAAAGAGAATGACTTAATTTAGGTTCATATTACAGAAGCACTATTGATCAAAGTCTAAAGCAAAAATGAATGTCTTATGTTAAATACTTTTCCAAGGAGAAGTGATGAGCCGAAGTGCAGGCTATAGCCAAAATATGACACTTGAGAAAAGAGAGTTAAAGTTCTAGTATGGTTTTCACAAGCAATACCATAACTGTGAACTGCAGTTTAACACTAAAACATAGTGCAATTATTTACCCTCCAAGTGTTGTAGAAGCTTACCAAGCTGTTTGAGTTTATGACGTCCGACCAAATCGATTCAAGTATAAAATCTTAATTTAGATCTTTAAAAATTCAAGATTTCAGTAGTTCATTTTCTTGCAAGTAACCGCTAATTGAGATGATTATCTGTGGGACAGTCTTGCATGTGGATATTACCCAATACAGAAATATATAATCTAATGCCAGGTGAAAATGGCAAGTTTTAAGTTTCGGAAACATTCTAGAATCGACACTTAGATATGACGTGACTTAACAGCATTAGACACATCTGGAAACGGTGAAATATATTTGTTTTCCCGCCCTTGTTACTAGCTGGGTGACCGAATGCTGTTTCATGCAAAATTCATCGTTGCCAACAGCTCTAATAACTTCGTTGAGTAACTAGTTATCACGGTAAAGGGGAAAAAATAGACCAGGTCTAGCTGCTCATCGTTTTTTCTAGCTCTGCAAGACGATTCTAAAACTGTCACTTAAGCAAAAACATGTCACTTTGAAAATTCTTGCATTACTCCGATGAAAATGAATTGCATACATGTATTATCATCCGAATTGGTACATGTACGCTTAGTGTAAGTATTAACATTTAAGGTGGCTCCTTAGGGCAATTATTTACAGTATTACCGGCGTTATTGTTGTTTGGAAGCTTTTTTCAGCTTTTACTGCATCAAACCTATAAAATGTAATAAGCGATGATTAAATAGTGTTTTGAAATCATCTTGTCAAAGGATGAATTAAAAACTGCTTAAGCCAATGAGTTTTCCAGGGTTTATTGTTATTTTCTTGAATTCCCATCGGTAAAATCTTCCACAATTTTCCAGCCGTATAAGAATTTTTGAACGCAAAGAACTTAAGGGTTAAATAATAAAGTGTATTATCGTTTGTCTCACGATGTAGTCACTTGAGATGTAGATCGCGNACTGATTGCACGGTATCATTTATATCACAAAGGTCGGCTGTGGTTGGTGCATTTCGATCCTCCTATTGTTCCATTATTTCGGCGAGTAGCTGTTCCCTCAGTGGTCCGCTGTTGTACCGCTGTTGTAACTTAAGGGTTGTACTTGTAGTTTCTTCGCTGTTTGCAAATTTATGGTAAGGTTAAGGCAATTCTTCTTTTATAGTGAACGACTTTACTTAGCTAAAGAGCTGTCTCATGGGAATCCCACTATTGTCCTTTTCCTTCGAAGAAAATAGGTACCCAAAGGGTCCAAGGGTGGGATACGTTATTTGCATTAACGGATACGAGCCAAGGACAGTAGTGTGGGATACCTGTTGTCCAACAGAAAAGCTAATTCTAATCAGGTAGATCCTCACGAAAAACCAGAACCACGCAGAGTAAAATTGTCATAAACAGTCGGCCAAACTTCCCGAAATTTCACCAAAGGAAACACGAGAAAACACATTGTTGGTTTTGCTATTTTGAAGACGTCAGAAACTAATATAACAAAACTCTGGCCCCAGTTGTTCAAACGGTGGATAACGCTATCCACCGGATAAATCTCAGTCCTCTGGATAGTGAAGTATGTTCTATCAGCACTTATCCATTAGATAGTGATTTATGCAGTAAACAACGTTATTCACCGTTTGAAAAACTGGTCCCTAATGTTTTCCTTTGAGCGCGCATTTTACTAAGGTTTTCGTTCTCGACGCGCGTGCAGTAGTCAAGCTTTAAGGAGCCAGCGAAAGTGACACAGCTGTGGCCAGCAGGTTGTTATCCTTTACTATACGATCTTCCGTCTCATTTTCTACCATGATCATTGATTAGCGATGAATACGAGATCAATGCCTTGTGTTTATCATCTACTGGAACTCTATCACTGACATCGAGCCACTGTAGATCAGCTGTAGATCTTAACAGAAGATCTGAAGGCAGATAAATAAAAGATACAGCTTTAAATTGTAGAAGCAGTCCCGTCTGGTCGGAGTTAGATTAGGGAACATCAGGCAAATTTGTTCCTCAAATGCGCTTAAATTATCAGTTTGTTTCATAGATCCTTATGGACATTTGTTAAGTGTAGTAATCTCTAAAACAGTTATAGCTAGTTGTATGAGTCTACTAACAGAGACGTGAGGTACGTGGCAGTTGAGATATTGAAGCTAAGAAGGGCAAGAATACGCTACTTTTGATGTATTAAAACTCAGGCATACGTTGCTGACAAGGCTCCAACTGACACAAACAAAGGGAACCGAAGAACTATACTTATTCATTTCTATTTTTACATTCGGACCTCTTTATCAACCTGAATTATAACATAGCCTTAGAGAAGCGCGCGTTCTGATTGGCTAATACGCTCGATCTATTAGCCCGTGGGTTGCACGCTGACTACGCTGACGTCAATTTGCTAAGTTTACAAGTACTTCTTCTCAGCAATTTTTTTTCATGGATGCTACTTTTTTCAAAACATTATTCCTATTTTCTTTTTTTTTGTCTGATATTGGTGGCCTTTGATGAATTATTTCATTCGGCCCGCGTTTCAGTTTTGCTCGATCACTCGATCGTAAATTGACCTCTTGGAGAAACATCCGCTCGAAGGAAAGACTGCATCGTGCACAAATGTAAGCTTACATTTCTGGCATTTTCCTTTAAGCCTCAGTCTTCTGTTCATTTAAGCTTATTTTACTAGTTAACGAAAGTGACAGATAACATTTTTAAAAGCCACTCTTGAGTTCAAGCTCAGCGGCCCAACTCATCAAATTTAAAACGAAGTGGAAAGAAAGCGTAACACACGAACCCCCTATTGAAGAAGAGCATTTCAAATTGAACAGCTCAAAGCCATGGGTGTTTGTTCGCTTTCTTCTCCACTCTCGCCTCTAAGAAATGTCTGGTTCCATATTGTTCTTTTCCTTTGCCGAAGAGGCCGCGAAGAACAGAGAGCTCAGCCACTAAAAGCTTCAACCGTGTCAACCATGTGCAGTTTGTTTCAATTCTTCGGAAAACTGATCCAACGAAACGCTTTGAGCGACTGCAGTTTTCGTTTATTTTCAGCTTGATATTTAGGTTAACTAAGCAGTTTGAAGGTGTTTGTTTGCCCGATATCGAGAAAATGAACTATAAACTCGCCGTGATCCAAGAA